CTTTTCAGCATGGAAAAAGGCTGCTAAGATGATACAAACTCTTTTAGAAGAGCAAAGTATTTAAGTTGAGGAAAAAGACTCAAGAGTCAAGGTTTTACAGAGGCAGCACCTCCAAGGGGAAAAATAAGAAGCCCCAGAGGGCAGAGGAGCGAGAGCAGCTGATTGTGCATCCTCGATTCATTTGCAGAGCCTTCAGAACCTTACCCTCTTTGGTGTTTCAAATTCCTCTTCCTCTTCATCGCTATCAAAACTGGAGCCAGAGTCCATCGTCTCTGTATAAACTTGAGAGAATTTCCTCTTCCTGTCGGATGTTATTCTGGGGCTCCAGGACAGGTCACTCCCAGCTTTTCCCTCCTGTCGCTCAGTGGTAGAGGGCTCCAGGCTCAGCTGGGCCATTTCCACTTGGCCCCTTCCAGAGTCCCGAGGCTCTTCACTCTCCTCTTGGTAGTTTCTGAAGGGATCAAAAGCCCCAAAACGTTAGATTAAAATGGGGCAGCTAGCAGATTGCATCTCTTCCTTGATTGAAATCCCTAAAGGCCCAGAACCAAGCTTCTCCCTCAAGATCACCAACGGGATTCACTCACCCGTCTTGCTGCCAGTTGGTCACAGCAGTCCCCGCCAGGTCTTCGTGGGGCTGGTCTTTCTGGTCTTGGTTGTGTGACGTGTCCTTCAGGAGAGAGCCCAGAGATCAGTTCCTCTGAGCAAGAGAGCAGCCCGAAAGCCCTGCCATGAAAGCATCAGGCACAGAGGAGGGGAGCAGAGAGCAATTCCAAGGTGCATCCCTGTCCCTGGCAAAGCAGAGCCAGGCCAGGCGTAAGCGTTGGAAGAGCCTTGAGCCTGTCCTTGGGGAGAGGAGAGAGGCCACCAAGGTCCCCCCTCCTGCAGAGCCGGGGTTTCTCTTGGGGCAGAAGCAGCAGATTGGTGTGTTTGTGAAGGAGGAGCTGAGGGAGAGCCAGGGACCTTCTGGGGTTTGTACTTACTCTTCACTGTTGGTTTCCTGAGGATGGGGAACCAGGAGAATTTGGCCCGTGTAGACTTGATCAAGCTTCTAAACCTCCTGTGCACAAGAAACTAATAATCTAAAAATCTAATAAGTATTAAGCTAACAAACTAGTAATCTTCTAATCTCAACTAATATTTGTTCTAATCACTAATAATTGTAGCTATCCGGGTTGGTTTCAAATCTGAGATGTGAGTGGAGGGTGGAGAGCTGGGGACATGAGTGGTTCCTCCGAGACTCTCCACGGACGCGCTCCTTGGCGCTGCATCTCTCTAGAGCGGCATCACAATGGCGCCTGGGAGACGGGGCTGGAGCAGGCGGCCGAGGGCACAGGCCCCATTCCTGGGGAGGCAGGAGGCCAAGAGTTCTCCTGGGACTTGAGAGACACCAGGGAAGCAGGAGAGATTTGAAAGCTCTTCCCACAAGAGCTTCCACTGCCATGGGCACCTCAGGCAGCCTCTTGAGAGCTTCTGTTCACCAGAAACCACTGCCCCATGGCCATTAAATTTAGGAATTTGTTGCCATGAGCAAAGGCTTTGGGTTTCTTGTTTGTTTTGGAGGAGGAAACCACAGATCCCAACATAACGTTGTGTTTTATGAACGGGAGGTGTGCGTCCGGGCCACCGTCCCGCTGCCTTGCCCCTTCCTCTCAGCACAAAGGGCCGAGGGGGCAGGAGGAGCAGCTTCCCTCGTGCCTGTGGCCAGGGACAAGGTGTGACTGAGACCAGGAGCAGGGGAGGCGACGTTCTGCTCCCCAAAAAGCTGTGGATGGGGCCACAGGAACCCCCCGGCTCTGGGGAGATGGGTTTCAGAGCAGAGCTCTCACCTGAGGGGGATGGAAAGGAGCAGAGGCCTCTCTCAGGGTGCCATTTTGCAGTGTCACCCGAAAGACCCCTTGAAAATCCCCAAAGCAAACCTGTTAGTCTGCCTTTGAAATACTGGCTTCTGTGTTTTCTGGTCCTGCTTGTGGCTTTATCTTGCCGTGCACATGAGTTGTCAGAGACTCGAGCTGTCGGGGCCCTATGGGGATGCAGGCCCTTGGGTGGAGAGGCCTGTAGTGAAGGCTGCTGGTGGTGGCGGCTCTGGAGAAGCTGGTGCTGGTCCTGTGGCTGCCCCATCCCTGGAGGGGGTCAAGGCCAGGCTGGATGAGGCTTGGAGCAACCTGGTGTGATGGGAGGTGTCCCTGCCCAGGGCAGGGGGATTGAAACGCGATGATGTTTAAGGTCCCTCTCCTGTGGCTGCCCCATCCCTGGAGGGGGTCAAGGCCAGGCTGGATGGGGCTTGGAGCAACCTGGTGTGATGGGAGGTGTCCCTGCCCAGGGCAGGGGGATTGAAACTCAATGATGTTTAAGGTCCCTTCCAGCTCTAACTGCTCTATGATTCTGTGATATTGGCTGCGCTAGGCCTTGGCCTGCTGGAAAAGGTGCCCGTAATGGTGGCTGCTGGTGGTGGCGGCTCTGGGGCATTCTCTTTGAAATGCCTCGCGCAGTAGAAGGGCCGTTTGAGGCCCACCTGCCACCCGGGTGGGATCTCCCTTCCCCCTTGTTGGGTCCTAAACGCCCCACGTCCTGCTCCATAACTGGGCCTTCGACTACAATTTGGTAACCCCTCTCTTTCCCTCCCTCTCTCTCTGCTTGCCGCTCCCTCACCTTCTACCACGGCTACCATTCATTTGCTTCTACCTTACTGTTTGTTGTCATCTGTTGTTCTGACCTACACTGTTTGGGCCTCCCGCAACAGATCGATTAAATCCGTGTCATGCCATTCCACCATCTTGTCCAAGTTTTTCCTAATACCGGGCTCGGCCTTTGTAACAAAATTGACTTTCAACAACTCTAGCCCCCCATCTCTTCCTGAGTGTTATTGCGTATTTTTCCTCAATCTTTCCAGACAGTATTCAGGGGGTTCATCCTTCTGTTGTTTATTTTCAAGAACCTTATCAAAATTCTGCCCCTGTGGGGCGGCCTCTCTTACTCCCCTAATGATTAATCTCCTATCATCGGACATATTATTGCTGCTTTCAACATTGTTCTGTTACCAAGTGGGCCTTTGCTATGGGGCATTTCTGCTCCCCCGGAATCTGTCCCTGAACGCTGGGAGTATTCTCCCGCTCCCAGATTCTCATCCTGGCAGCTCGCATCATTGGTCTGTCTTCTGGTGTAAACAGGGCCCCTAAAATAAACCACATTTTATCCCAAGTGTAAAGATCGGGGCCTAAAAACTGGTCAGGTTGCTTGGCTACCCCAGAGGGTTCTCCAACAAATTTTGCATTTCTTTTTTCACTTCCCGGACCGCAGTACTGGTCAGAGACACATTCACAAACCCCACTCCTGCCAGAGGTCACAGAGCCCAGCTGAATGGGGTGCCCCCGCCAGCAAAAGAGGCTCCCCCCAGTTCCAGAACTGGAGGTATTTATACCTTCATGCCCCTTTTCCCATTGCTTCGGCACTTTAGGGCCCACATTCTTTGGCAATGGGTGAGCCTATCAGAGACTTTCATTTTAAAGGAGTTGTTCTCCTGAGCTACTGAATCCTGCCCACGCCCCCCAGCAACGAGCCTCGTCCATACGTCATCCCCCTCTGTACCAAATGGCCGAAACCCACAGAATGGCTGAAGCAAAACCCCCTGAGTTCATCTCCCACATTTCAGAATCACAGAATCACAGAATCTTCATGGTTGGAAAGGACCTCTGAGATCACCGAGTCCAACCACACACACACAAAAGCCCTCCACAATCCCGGGCACTAGAGCATGCCCTGAAGTGCCCCATCGACACGTTTCTTAATGACCTCCAGGGATGGTGACTCCACCACCTCCCTGGGCAGGCTGTTCCGGTGCCTGACCACTTTTTCTGTCGAGTACTTCTTCCCAATATCTACTCTAAACCTGCCCTGCCCCAACTTCAGACCATTTCCTCTGCTCCTGGCATTATTTCCATGGGAGAAGGGGCCAACCCCCACCTCTCTACAGCCTCCTTTCAGGGAGTTGTAGAGGATAATGAGGTCTTCCCTCAGTCTTCTCGTCTCCAAACTCAACATGCCCAGTTCCCTCAGCCTCTCATCACAGGACTTGTTCTCTAGACCCCTCCCCAGCTTGGTGGCTCTCCTCTGGACACACTCCAGCACTTCAACGTCCTTCTTGTAGTGAGGGGCCCAGAACTAACACAGCACTGGAGGTGAGGCCTCACCAGTGGCCAGTACAGAGGCACCATCACTTTGGAAGGTCTTGGATGAATGTTCTCAGCCTCTGCTGTGCTGTAAGTTTGTTCCAGCCCCAGCTACTTTCTTGTCCCCGTGCACCATTTCGCACCTCCCTGGGCAGGCTGTTCCGGTGCCTGACCACTTTTTCTGTCGAGTACTTCTTCCCAATATCTACTCTAAACCTGCCCTGCCCCAACTTCAGACCATTTCCTCTGCTCCTGGCATTATTTCCATGGGAGAAGGGGCCAACCCCCACCTCTCTACAGCCTCCTTTCAGGGAGTTGTAGAGGATAATGAGGTCTTCCCTCAGTCTTCTCGTCTCCAAACTCAACATGCCCAGTTCCCTCAGCCTCTCATCACAGGACTTGTTCTCTAGACCCCTCCCCAGCTTGGTGGCTCTCCTCTGGACACACTCCAGCACTTCAACGTCCTTCTTGTAGTGAGGGGCCCAGAACTAACACAGCACTGGAGGTGAGGCCTCACCAGTGGCCAGTACAGAGGCACCATCACTTTGGAAGGTCTTGGATGAATGTTCTCAGCCTCTGCTGTGCTGTAAGTTTGTTCCAGCCCCAGCTACTTTCATGTCCCCGTGCACCATTTCGGTGTGTGTTGTGCTGTCAAAGAAGGGCTCCTTCCTCTTGCAATGTTGCTGTGTTTTTACCGAGTTAACAATATCTTCTCTTCTGCTGAGCGTTGTGCCAGCCTTGATTTCTCCTCTGTCTTTGGGGCAGGGGCTGAGGGGAGGGAAGGGGAGTCTGGCATCGTGTTGAGGCCCCAGAGGAGCCTTGAGCAAAGGGTCGGGCTGAGGCCCGAGCACCATCTTGGTCTCTGCTCAAGTGCCCCTTCATTCATCCTGGAGCCGCATCCTCAGCTATTGTGGGTATTGCCCACAGCAGTGCTGTCAGGGAGGGGTGTCCCTTGAATGAGGACAAAAGTGATGACGTGCTAAATATTAATGAAAAAAACATCTTATATTTTATTAAGAGGTGAAGAATAAAAAGTCCTGGGATCTTCCACTCATTGCTGGTGGCAAGCCTTCACATTTGCTGTGAGCAGAGATCCCAGGTCTTCCCTCTAAATTAATCTTCCCATGGTCCTCCTTGTGAAGCCTTTGCAACAGAGAAAGAGTTTTTTCCAAACTCTTCCTACCCACAGCTCACCCCTGTCCAACTTTTCTGGGGTGTTAAGAAATGGCAGATATTGGGGTTGGTGGGGCGATGTTTTCGTTTCTGTCGGACGTCCCCCTGGGGAAGCTGGACGTGAAGCTTTGCCTCTCGGGTGGAAATTGCACCCTGGGCTGGGGTGATCTTTTGCAACGATTGTTCTGCTTTTCTCGGTGCTTGGCTTTTCACTGAATTTCACTGAAATGGCTTTTGCCGTAATCTTGTGTAGATTAAGCAGGCGGTTAAACATAAAGATTTCACCTTCGCGCTCCTTGTCTGTTGCGCTGTTTTGATCAGGACTGTGGTTCCTTAAGTTGCAAAGAACTGCAGGACGCGGCGTGGCAGGGATTTGTCTTTGTCCATCGGATGGATTAGGTAGGAACGTTCATGGCTTGTCGTTAGTCCAGATTAATATTATTAGTTTCTTTACGTTCAGTCACTTGTTTACACTTGTTTTCTGTTTATGTGAATTTTTCCTTGTGGAATGCTGATAACATTATGTATTAAAAGCAAGTCCTTTTAATTCATCTACGTAAATGGGCTAAATATCTTTTTTTTTTTAATTTTATTTTAGTGAAGCAGTTCTTCCTCCCGACCCTGCTGCCATTCTAATACTGGCTTTTTAAACAAACTCCCACACCAGCTTGCCTTTGCCGCTGTGCTCGGAGCAAGCGTCTCCAGCAGCGGCTTCCAATTTATAATTCATTAAGTCACGCAGCTCTTGGACTCTGGGGCTTTTGGAGAGGACCGAGGATTTTGTATCCCCCTGATCTCGATGTAGAGTCTGGAAAACGCAGGGGGAAAAAGCATTTCAGCTTGTGGTGGGGGGAGAGCTCCGTGGCCGAGCCGGTGGGCACTTTGTGTGTGTTTTTGGGGAGCGTTCCCTTCCGTCTGATGGCGAGGGTGAGTGCCGTGGGGTGTCACTGGGCTGAGATAGTGTCCTTCGTGGCCACCCGAGGAAACACGCAGCCTGGACCTGGGGAGGAGCCTTGTCTCTGCCCGAACCACGGTCTGTCTCACGGGGATCCGCTCAGCCCGAGTTGTAACCGCAGCAAAACACGGCGGGGATGGAGCCCTCGGATGGAGCCACGGTTTGGTAGCAGCAGGAGAAGATGTGGGCTACTTAGCTGTTTCTGTGAAAAAACACAATTCCTTTGAACCCGCGGGTCACTGGTTATAGGCTGATTATTTCCGCCTGTCAAAAGGTCCTCCAACCAAATAATCCACCATTTCTCCTCTTGAACGTGAGGGGCCAAGGAAAGCAGGATGCCCTGGGGCTTTATGGAAAGGCGCATATTTTCTTGGGAAAGCGGACAGAGAGGTGGGAAGCATTGGAGAAAGGCCTTACCATTCCCCGCGAGAAGAAGAGACCTGGGGGTCTTCATTCTAAATTCGTTTTCTGATGGTCCTCCTGTAAAAGCCTTTGCAAAAGAGAAAGAAGAAACCACAAATCAGCCCGAAAGCCCTGCCATGAAAGCATCAGGCACAGAGGAGGGGAGCAGAGAGCAATTCCAAGGTGCATCCCTGTCCCTGGCAAAGCAGACCCAGGCCAGGCGTAAGCGTTGGAAGAGCCTTGAGCCTGTCCTTGGGGAGAGGAGAGAGGCCACCAAGGTCCCCCCTCCTGCAGAGCCGGGGTTTCTCTTGGGGCAGAAGCAGCAGATTGGTGTGTTTGTGAAGGAGGAGCTGAGGGAGAGCCAGGGACCTTCTGGGGTTTGTACTTACTCTTCACTGTTGGTTTTCTGAGGATGGGGTAGCAGGGGAATTTGGCCCGTATAGGCTTGATGAGGCTTCGATACCTCGGGCGCAGGATATACTGGACCACAGGAGCTGGTACTGGGAAGGCTGGAGGGTACCAATACAGGTAGGGGACTGGGTTTATGCTGCAAGAGAGACAGGACAGACATTTCAGGGAAGGATTCAGTGTGGACTGATGCAATTGTTGAGGTACAAGCCCCGTTTGTTAAGAGCAGCATGGGTGAGAGCACGTGGAACCAGCAGGGAGCAGGATCTCCAGGCTTCCCAGGGAGACAGAGGCTATTCCAGCTCCAGGTTTCCCTGGAGGGGCTGGAGTGTGTGTTGGTGGCAGGACGCAGAGCTTCCTGGGGATGGTGGCAGGAGTGCCCAGGAGAAGAGGCCCTGAAGAGCAAGCGCTCCTGGAGAAACACTCACTTGGTGTTGTCTGGCAGCAGAGCTCCTCCAGTCCCCCAATTCTCCTGGGTCCAGTCTTCCTCCTGAGGGGCCCTTGGCGGGGACTCCAGAGGCAGAGTGTGGTTTGCTTGAGCTGTAGGAGGCCAAAGGGAAAGACTGAGGAAGGGCAAGGCCAAAGCCCAAGCCAAGGCTCTTCCTCATTTCTGTGAGAGCAGGTGGGAGAGAAGCCACCACTTGGCTGAAAGCCGGGCTGTGGGCATCCCGAGGCGGGACACCAGCCCCCAAGAGAAAGACCTGAAGCCAGCCTCATCCAGTCCCTCCCACAAAGAGTGGCTGCAGCCCATTTCAGACCAATTGGCCTGCCCACCGTACCTCTCCTGATGTTCTCATAGGAGGTCTGGGACTCTGGAGCTGGAAGAGGGTCCCAGCTGGCCTGGATGGGCGGCAGGGGGATGTCTGGGAGTGTTACATCCGTGTCTAAGAGGATCTGGAAGGAGACAATGTGCGTGCAGGTCACATACCCATAACATGGATACGAGGCCCCTTTTCAGCATGGAAAAAGGCTGCTAAGATGATACAAACTCTTTTGAAGAGCAAAGTGTTTCAAAGTTGAGGAAAAAGACTCAAGTCAAGGTTTTACAGAGGCAGCACCTCCAAGGGGAAAAGTAAGAAGCCCCAGAGGGCAGAGGAGCGAGAGCAGCTGATTGTGCATCCTCGATTCATTTGCAGAGCCTTCAGAACCTTACCCTCTTTGGTGTTTCAAATTCCTCTTCCTCTTCATCAGTATCAAAACTGGAGCCCTGTTCCTGTTTCCTCTTCCTGTGAGATGTTATTCTGGGGCTCCAGGACAGGTCACTCCCAGCTTTTCCCTCCTGCCGCTCGGTGGTAGAGGGCTCCAGGCTCAGCTGGGCCGTTTCCACTTGGCCCCTTCCAGAGTCCCGAGGCTCTTCACTCTCCTCTTGGTGGTTTCTGAAGGGATCAAAAGCCCCACATCGTTAGATTAAAACATGGGCAGCTAGCAGATTGCGTCTCTTCCTTGATTGAAATCCCTAAAGGCCCAGAACCAAGCTTCTCCCTCAAGATCACCAATGGGATTCACTCACCCGTCTTGCTGCCAGTTGGTCACAGCAGTCCCCGCCAGATCTTCGTGGGGCTGGTCTTTCTCGTCTTCGCTATGTGACATGTCCTTCAGGAGAGAGCCCAGAGATCAGTTCCTCTGAGCAAGAGAGGGGGCATCTTCCCTCTGATCAGCTTCCCACAGGGTGAATCAAGTTAAGCCCCCTCCCGTCCCCACCAGGTAGAAGTAAAACCCCTTGATCTAACGGCAAAGAGATACCCCAGAGAAGAAAGGATGGTTTTGGCAGCCATTGTAGCGTTTGCCACAGTTTGTAAATCCAAGCTGAGTTAACTCTGCCTTGGACAAACATTAATTCTTTGTAGCAATGACCCGAGTTGGTATTTACCATGAGCGCAGGTACGTTTGATGAAAGACGATGTCACTAGTAATTGTTAGTATTTTTAGTTCTAATAATCTAATAAACTATCTAATATCTTAAGAAACTACTTAATATCTAAGAAACTAAGAAAAAAATATATAGGAAACTAATAATCTAAAAATCTAATAAGTGTTAAGCTAACAAACTCCTAATCCTAGCTCCTAAACTAACAATCTCCTAATCTCAAATAATATTTGATCTAATCACTAATAATTGTCACTATCAGAGTGTTTTCCAATATCAGATCTCAGTGGAGGGTGGAGAGCTGGGGACACGAGCGGCTCCTCCGAGACTCTCCACGGACGCGCTCCTTGGCGCTGCCTTTTATCCCTAGAGTGGCATCACTGGGAGACGGGGCTGGAGCAGGCAGCCGAGGGCACAGGCCCCGTTCCTGGGGAGGCAGGAGGCCAAGAGTTCTCCTGGGACTTGAGAGACACCAGGGAAGCGGGAGAGATTTGACAGCTCTTCCCACAAGAGCTTCCACTGCCATGGGCACCTCAGGCAGCCTCTTGAGAGCTTCTGTTCACCAGACACCACTGCCCCATGGCCATTAAATGTAGGAATTTGTTGCCATGAGCAAAGGCTTTGGGTTTCTTGTTTGTTTTGGAGGAGGAAACCACAGATCCCAACATAACGTTGTGTTTTATGAACGGGAGGTGTGCGTCCGGGCCACCGTCCCGCTGCCTTGCCCCTTCCTCTCAGCACAAAGGGCCGAGGGGGCAGGAGGAGCAGCTTCCCTCGTGCCTGTGGCCAGGGACAAGGTGTGACTGAGACCAGGAGCAGGGGAGGCGACGTTCTGCTCCCCAAAAAGCTGTGGATGGGGCCACAGGAACCCCCCGGCTCTGGGGAGATGGGTTTCAGAGCAGAGCTCTCTCCTGAGGGGGATGGAAAGGAGCAGAGGCCTCTCTCAGGGTGCCATTTTGCAGTGTCACCCGAAAGACCCCTTGAAAATCCCCAAAGCAAACCTGTTAGTCTGCCGTTTAAATACTGGCTTCTGTGTTTTCTGGTCCTGCTTGTGGCTCTAGTCCAGAGGCATGGTGCCTTTGGCTTGAGCTGTAGGAGGCCAAAGGGAAAGATTGCTTAGATGCAGGTGATGCTAAAAGAAGCTCCTTAGTGCTTGTCTCAGCTGAGAAGAGAGAGTGAAGCTGCTCCGCAGTGGGACTGGATTTAAACCAGCCCTGCTGGAAGAGTTTCCCCACACCAAGACGTCCCCTGGGCAGCATTCCCAGAGCTCTCTGCCGTCATTGAGCCCTTCCTTACCGTTGTGGGCAGGAGCTGAGGCGATGGTCTGGGCTGCTGCGACCTGCTCCCGCTCCCATGCCTCCTGATGGTGGAGATACAACTCCCACCAGGAATGAAATTCCCCTGGCTCCTCGCTCCTAAAGTCTCGGAGCCAGAGGTTTGGGCAGAGTTGTTGTGTCCCCCTGGGAAGGACCTGAAAGAAACCCACTGGTGAGCTGGGATCCTCCCAGAGACCTTGACTCCCCTCTCCCTCAGCATGGGCAGGTGCCAGTGGCACTGGACGCCCAGTGAGGGAAAGGCAGCTTTGGGAAGGAAGCTGCTGAGAAGTAGTCTTTTGGACTTCAGTGGTTTGGGGGTCTGGACGCACCAGCGTGTTCGGATTTGGGTGGTGACCTGTGCAGCCCACTTCAGATTGTTGATCTGGCGAGGATACTTGGAGGAAGAAAGGAGCAGAGCGAAGAGCCCAGGCTGAGGAGGATCCCAGGATTTGGGATCTGTGAAGACACAGAGTACCATGGGAGCAACCTCAAGGGCCAAGGCTTCTCCAAGAGACCCACAAGGTGGTGGAGGAAGGGCAAGGCCAAAGCCCAAGCCAAGGCTCTTCCTTATTTCTGCGAGATCAGGTGGGAGAGAAGGCACCACTTGGCTGAAAGCCGGGCTGTGGGCATCCCGAGGCGGGACACCAGCCCCCAAGAGAAAGACTTGAAGCCAGCCTCATCCAGTCCCTCCCACAAAGAGTGGCTGCAGCCCATTTCAGACCAATTTGCCTGCCCAACGTACCTCTCCTGATGTTCTCGGAGGTCTGGGACTCTGGAGCTGGAAGAGGGTCCCAGCTGGCCTGGATGGGCGGCAGGGGGATGTCTGGGAGTGTTACTTCCCTGTCTAAGAGGATCTGGAAGGAGACAATGTGCGTGCAGGTCACATACCCATAACATGGATAGGAGGCCCCTTTTCAGCATGGCAAAAGGCTGCTAAGACGATACAAACACTTTTAGAAGAGCAAAGTGTTTCAAAGTTGAAGAAAAAGACTCAAGAGTCAAGGTTTTACAGAGGCAGCACCTCCGAGGGGAAAAGTAAGAAGCCCCAGAGGGCAGAGGAGTGAGAGCAGCTGATGCTACATCCTTGGTTCACTTGCAGAGCCTTCAGAACTTACCCTCTTTGGTTGAGGAGCCTCAGGTGCCTCTTGCTCTGCCCTTTCCGCAGTTGTTCTCTTGCAGCTGGGTCTTTGGACATTTGTGATGGGCCCATTGAGGCTGCTGTTGCAGAACCAGAAGATGGTGGGGAATTGCTCTTCCTCCCCAGGTGACACAGAGGGGTTGACCATTTCTTATTTTGGGGCTCGTCATAAGTCTTCTTCAAATGACATGCTTGGTGTTTCAAATTCCTCCTCCTCTTCGTCGTTGTCAAAAAAGGAGGAAAACCTGTCATCTCTGCGTCAACCTGTGAGAATTTCTGCTTTCTCTCTGATGATGTTAGGGTCTCAGAAATCTTCTTTTCTTTATGTCTCTGGCATGAGTCACTCCGAGCTTTCCCCTCCTGCCGCTCGGTGGTAGAGGGCTCCAGGCTCAGCTGGGCCATTTCCGCTTGGCCTCTTCCAGAGTCCTGACGCTCTTCATTCTCCTCTTGGTGGTTTCTGAAGGGATCAAAAGCCCCAAATCGTTAGATTAAAACATGGACAAGAAGCAGATTGCATGTCTTGCTTTATTAAAGTCCCAAAAGGCACAGAACAAAGCTTCTCCCTCAAGATCACCAATGGGGTTCACACAAAAGCTCTTCACAATCTGGGCCTGTAGAGCATGCCCTGAAGTGCCACATCGACACGTTTCTTAAGGACCTCCAGGGATGAGTCCTGCCACCTCCCTGGGCAGGCCCTTCCAGAGCCTGACCACCATCTCAGGAAAGTACTTCTTCCCAATATCTAAAACCTGCCCTGCCCAAACTTCAGACCATTTCCTCTGGTTCTGTCATTATTCCCTTGGGAGAAGGGGCCAACCCCCACCTCTCTACACCCTCCTTTCAGGGAGTTGTAGAGGGCAATGAGGTCTCCCCTCAGCCTCCTCTTCTCCAAACTCAACATGCCCATTTCCCTCAGCCTCTCCTCCTAGGACTTGTTCTCTAGCCCTATCACACAGCCTAGACCTTTTGCAGCCTCTGAGGAAGAGCAACGCGGAGGATTTGCCATGAGAACTCCCTTCCCTCGTCCTAATCTCTGTCACTTTAAGTACAGCAGAGAACCAAATCCGACAGCTGTTTTAGTTTACCCAGCCCAGAAATCTCCATGTGGAACACTCAGGGCCTTTAAGTCCTGTTTATGCCCCAAAGTGAAAGCAGCATTAACTCCCTGAGTGCAGAAAACAGCCTTACTGCCAGAAATGCACTTCTGTGGGGAAGAGGAACAAGCTGTGTTACTAGAAGCGACTTTACACCTTCCAACTAGATCCACGCTCGCCTCTCTGCTGATACAAGTAATAAGCAGTTAATATGCAGTCCCATCAGCATGAGGAATAACAAAGCCCTGTTTCCTTTAAGATCTGCATTTTGTGCTTGATTGCGGCCTCCCATCAAATACGTCCCTGCCGTTCCAATGGATTTTTCTAAATTCTCTCCCCCGGTGTGGAGTCTTTGATGTCTGATAAGGTAGAAGCCCACGCTCCGGCCTCTCGTTCAGACAAGAAATGCTGATTGGGAGCATTTATAGGCTTTTGCTCCTCTGCCTGACCACCGTTTTCACAGTATGTATAAAAACTTAATTGTATGTGAGGCTGCTTTCCTTCCCCATCAATTCTGCTTGAAACTGCCAATGGTTTCAAAAACTATTAAGGTCAGAATAAACATGCAGAAACGCACACGCATTCATTACATGATCATATGAGCTTAATTTCCTCAGGCAAACAGGCTAAAAATATCCCGCGTGCCCAGAAGAGGTAATTATACCGGTATAAAAACTCTGGAGGGTCGTGCTGCTTTCCTCCACTCTCTCCACGGTTGGAAGCGGTGTCCTGACACATCCAACGTGTCTCTGCCAGCCTCACCATCCCACGCACCTCCCACAGCCAACGAGCCTCTTTCACCCAGAAAGGCGAAAAAGGCTGAATTATTAATTTTCCATTTGCATGGAGCGCAATCCTACGGCACCGTGCCAGGGATGGGCAAGGATGCACCGAGCCCCTGAGGTGGCCAGGGGAGATGTCCTCTTATATTATCTCCTCACACTCCCCCCTCCCCGGAACAAAACGCTTCTGTCAGGCTGGGTTTTGAAAGCAAAATGCTCTAATGATGATAGACAGTTCCAGATCATGGCCTGCAAAGCCGTCTCCCAGAGAGCTGGTACTTCTCACCGGGCCACCAAGAGGCTTTTCAAGTGATTGGCACAAGGCAAACGCAACGCCAACTCATGGGCAGCTGGAGCTTGGTTTCCCCCTTCATCCCCCAGCCCTCCCCACTG